AAGCCCCGAGAGGCCCACGGCATCCGAGTCACCGGGTCCCTTCTTCTCCAAGTCTGGTGCGCGCATCCACGGGGCTGGAGCCACGTACCTCGTGCTGGCCACTTAGTGAAACTGAAAACATTACACTTTAGTCGCACAGTTACGATTCTTACTCCTCCCGATTCCAAGATGCCCCAACCCTGACTTTAATCCCCAGGCCGCACCCTCCGACACCCCCCCGCCCCCGCACGACACCTGCACAGGGAGACGCTGGTACTGCCTCCTCGTCTTCATGAGGAAGTCAGAATCGGGGGGAAGAGCCACTCAAAATGCAAATCCCCTGGCTCCCCAAAAAGAAAAACTCCAAACTCCTTCATTTCAGAGGCAGGCAGCTGTCACTACTGGTAGTCAGAGGCCTGGGGTCAAGAGCATCCACATGGAAACCCACCCCTCCTGGGCACTGACTGGACTGTCCACCCTGCATGCTCCCTCGCACAGCCCCGCCCCGCCCAGCGCTGCCCTGGGCGGCGGCAGCTCTGCCACATCGGAATGAGGGTCGCCTGTGTGACCCTTTTCGGGAAAGCCAGCGAACGACACTGCGCAGCAACGCAGCCCGTTTCATCGCGGCCTCGCGTCTAGTCAGGTCACTACTGCTCGCCCAGCCTACGATGTAAATGGAACCAAGCCTTGCTTTTCCTCCCCATCTCCCACCTCGCGATGGCCAAACTCTTCGGTTACCCTTACAGTCAACTTCTAACGTTAGCAGCTCCCTCCACACCCCCAGGCTGTGGCGCAGGCGGGAGTCCAGGCCTGGGGAAGGGGGAGGGACTGGCCGGCGGAGGGAGAGCACAGAGCCGCTCTGTGTCCTCGGCTATTTTAAACCGCAGAACAGGGGCCTACTGAGCGGCAGGGAAAACAGGCCGCGAACCCCGCCTGGGAGCACGTGGCCAGCACTGGAATGCCAAGCCCAGGGCGTCTCCCAAAGGTCCAGCTGTCCCGTGGGGGGCTCCTCCCACCCACGCCACCCAGGTCCCGCTGATCCTGTCTCTCCTCTGTGGCCTCCCGCCCACCCCCCCAACCAGCACTCTGATCCAGGCAGGACTGGGATCCCCACCTCTCCTCTCACC